GGACACCTAGCTAGTGTGACAGTGAGCAAACATACTCCACACCAGGACCCTGAAACTGTAGCAGCTAAATGAAGTTCATTCTTCATTACTTTCTTTCTATGACGTGAAAAAACTCAAACAACTTTTGGCAAAAGATTTGGAAAAAGCACAAGAATGTCGACCGGTATTAAGGAAATTAGTTTTAAACCATGAATGGTGGTTTGGTACCATGCTCCATTTGCATTGAAATTGGGCCATTAGTCAAAGCACTAGAAAAGGAGGTGACAAAATATGGCAGTTTGAAAAGTAAAAGATGTCCACAGATTAATGGCGTCTGTGCTCTGCAACTGAAAATTGGGACAAAGCAGAAATCACATGAGGTTTCACTAAAGAAAATGAAGTGGGAAGCCTGTGTGTGTCATAAATCTGTTGCTAAATCCTCTACATACCTTCCACACTTCAAATATTCATGATCACAGACGTAACCTGCTCAGGTCAGGACAGACATTCGCCTCCAGAAGGGGAGCCCTGACCCTTTCCCAGACTCAGGGATCTGAGGTCTATGAAACCTCAGCCCCTGCCTCTTGGTGCCCTCATACAGCTGTGCAGCAATCCAGCTGCGTGCAAAACTCAGAGGCTGGCTAAGAATACCAAACCAATCCTGGGGAGGAGGTAAGGTCACAAGCCCTGTGGGAAATCTGGATTATAGCTGGGAAATATTTCAATATAATATTGTGATACAGGACTAAATAGATGTCTGGGATCTTAGTCATCATAATACTATATTATGTAAATAGATTAAGACATACCATGTGGAGTGTTCGACCACTAGTGGTGCCATAGAGCAATGTTTTAATGAGTGGTTTTGTTGGTATCTCATGTGAAGCTAAAAAAAAATTAGTCAATTGACAGAAAAACAGAAAACTATTTTCATAACAGGTAATTGGTAATTGGTCAAAACAACAAATCATCATCTGCTCTCACTTTCTCCAATGAGAGGATTTCTCTGTTTCAATATCACTAAACTGAATTTGGACAAATCAAGATGTCACACTGGAATGATTTATAGATCCAAAAACTAATTACTATGTTTGTTTGTTAGGTCTTAAGAATACATGAGTGGTGAGAAACTCTGAATGTAAACATTATTGTTTGTCGACATGAAAACTTCCCAGGGTATCTTTAAATGTTTTTCTTCTGTGGTCTTAAAGGCTGCATTACAGCCAACTGACACGTTTCTGAAATAATTTCTGAGTCAAGAGAAATCAGTATTTTTCTTATTAACCATCACTACCTAGGTAATTATGCCAAATTTCTTTCTTAATGGACAAAATTAGATATAACAAAGTATACATTTATTATTAAAATTTGGGATTTAAAGCTGGCATGTAACTTTTATCTAAAATAAATGGGTTTTACTTACAAATTTGTTTTGACAAGGTTACATGAGGATGAATTGCTCCCATGTTATATTACAGACACGTGTACCCAGCAGGCCAGGGTCAAAGAGCTTTACAAAACTCATACACACTGAGGGTTATCACTGTTTTCTGTGACTGACTTAATCAGATCTTATCTGAATGACCCTGTCACAGTGAAACCCTCCTTTCATGTATTCAGCAGAAGCTAAATTAAAATCCATTGCTCTGAAGGAGGAAAGGGAGGGCCGACGGTTAAAGCCAACTGTGCTCACTTTGTTTTGTCAACATGCTGCATGTGTTGTGGATTCAGCATATTGCCTGAGTTTCCTACAGTGTGTTGTGACACTACAGTGGATCCTTAAGAACCAGCAGTCTGCCACAAACTGTCATACAGCAAGTCTTTCTTTAGCAGAAGAACATTTTAAGACATTTAAGACAGAACTCCAGGAGCTAAACTCAAGCTGTATTCCCTCTTTTGTTGTCTAGATACTAAACTGACATAAGCCTGTAGCCTATTTTGCTTCATGGCTCATTGTTTGAAAAACCACAAGGAGTCTAAAAAACTGTTTTAAATATTGTGGTGTGGGAAACTGTGCATAATCACTAATTACAGTAATTAACCAGTGACAGCAGTGTAAATTCAACATAATGGGATGCTACATAAACAAAGAAAAGACACAAAACACTAAATCAGCATTTCATTTGACATGATGGGGCCCTCAGGAAAACTAAACACAACAGTCTTCATGTTGCCTGACAGCTAAACACCTCCCACTGTGTTCCCATTGTTGTCTTGTCTTCTTAAGTTTCTCTCTTGTTATTTGTCCTTCAAGGAGACGGTTTGCACAGAACAGAGTGACTTGACCTTCAGTTTAAACAGCTCAACGGCAAAATTCACAGCAGCAGGACAGAGAGATATCACTTACAGAAAACACACCATTTATCCAGTCCACCTAGAAAACAACAAGGTGTGCTGCTCCAGAAAGATAAATAACTTGACTGTATGCACACACTCATGTATATTTTTCTATCGTAACAGTGCTTTCCCTCCCACTGCTCACTTTTATATTAACTGCCAGCACATATTTTACCTCAAGACTCAATAGCTCACAGACCTGCTCTTATATAAGTCTTACTTCAACAACACAACATAATTATAACATGAGAAGGTGAGATGCTGCTACCTCAGGGAATTGTTTGATGATAATAGCCAGAGCAGCATGTACATACAGCAATGAAATAGAAGCCGTGTTTTACAGAAGGTGGTCTGAAGGTACATCATCCCACATCTGCTGACTCAGATGTAAACAGACTCAAGAAACAAAGCAGAGACTGTGACAGGTTGTGTGAGGAAAGACACTCAGTTACCAGTTTATTAAGTACACCTAGCTAAAACTAATGAAAGCCAATCTTTGAATTGTAGCTCTTAAATACTTTTGTTACTTTAGAAATGATAAAGTGTTCAGAATCTAAAGTTTCTTGTTTACTATTCTGTGATTAGATACTTCCTGACCTAACTCTGAAAACATTTCAGATTAGACTATATTTTAGTTGGTTAGACTTTCTTTAGACTATGTTATTTATTCACCACCAATGCATTGTTAGACCCCAGGAGAAATAGCTGACAGCTAATGGGGATCCAAGTAAAGAACAAAGAATAATGAAGAGTAGCATACTGAGCAGCTTGACATATTTAATCAAATGCAAAAAGGGTGAAACATGTTTAAGTATTAAAAAAAAAAAAGAGGATAACTTTGGTCTCACCACCAACAATCAGGTATCGTACTGACACCCTTATCTAAAGGTTTCAAACTATATCCAGCCCTACTGAAGACTTGTTGAAAACTGTATTTAGCTACAGAATGCAACATAAAATAAATATCAAATATATAGTTATATTAAATAACGAATAAAATAAATAAATATAACTAAGAAACTATTGTCTCCTCAAACAAACTACATCAACAGATTCAACAAGGGATCCAAAAGTATAAGGAGAGTCAATACTACATTCAGATTAGATGAAATGCAATCAAACCCCAACATTAATCATGCAGTCATAATATTCTTGTCATCTAAAAGACAAAACATGGGGGGGGCACATCTAGAACTCAGATGCTAACACGCCGTTATGCTGACAAAGTCCTCTGCAAATGTTTAATAAATTATCAATGCAAATAAACTGTGGCCTCCCAATGTCAAGGCTCTACAGTCCACCCCTCTCCGAGCTGCTGAAGTAAGCACTTGACCTCTGCGTGTTTGTTTAGGCTGAAGAAATTTGAATAAAGCATCTTGCGAAGTTGGGGGTTGAAGGCCAGAGTTGGGAGAGTAACTCTCTGTCTGTTTGTTCTTTTTTGTCATGTTTTCAACTTGTTCCAAGTATTTGCCCTTTGTTTACACATGAAGCAGTTGCATGGAAAAAATAGACAAGGTTCTTATTTTTAATCTCATTACTTAAATGAGTACTCTTTTGGTATAAACACACCACTGCTGTGAGCTGCTCTGCACATATGTGCCAAAACTCCCTCTTGATAGACATCCAGTGTGCAATACTCTGAATTATATTCTTGTTTCTTCTAGTAATACACAAACTGTGCAGTTCTGATCCCACAGTGCACCTGGCAAAGTAATAAAACTGTGAACAAAGCCTTTATGTCGAGCCAGTGGCTGCAGACGGCGTCCGAGGGGGAATGCCATTCATTTTAAGAATTCACATATGTTATTGCTGCACCCCAGGGCAGGTCAAGCAATACTTGTAAACGTTAACCACTCTCTCTTACAATACAAGCTAGAAAATAGACCATGGGTTGTATTGTGTTGTCACTTGGATCTAAAATCTGCCACTGTCCCCAAAGACAATGAGACAATGTACTCAGTTTCGCTGCCACATATGATATTTGTGAGCTCTCGCACCCAAAAGAGGTTTAAATCAGATGACAAAGGGACAATAAAAAGAACTGTAACTTCTTATAAAGCTAATGGAGAGCAGTGCCTGAGTCTGACACACATTCCTATAACAACCACATAAGCATTCATTAGCCAAGCCTCTATCTGAGATAAGATAAAAGCAGTAGGATTGGTTTTGAGAAGATGGAGGGATATGCTGAGAGTCCCTGATAAGGAAATTGTTGATTTATGATCTGGACTAGAGCTCAAGTTTGAGCAGGAAATGAGTCTGGATTTACTGTAGGAGGCACTTTGTTATGTCTAAACCCACTCAACCTGTCATGACTGATGCACACGTTGATAAAATTTGGGGCTGCAGTTTTTTAAGAGAGGGCCACAGAGACTTCAGGGGCCTCCAGGCGGCATTTTACATTGTTAGATGATTTGTCTGGGAGGAAGAATATCAACACTTAATTTCCTCCAGGATTTACAGACTGTGTGTGTTTTCACCTGAAGGCAACACGAGAAATTAATTCAACCTTCACACACCTGTGTAGAGGCACAACTTGAATATTAGACGTTACTTTCAAATATCCAAAAAGTTACAAAGGCAACAACAGGGCTGTGCATTTACTTCTACAGCAACAATGTCTATGAGAAATATTTACACACTCAATACATTATAATATTAAGTTAAATCCAGTAAAAACCTACCATGTACGTGGAGCGGACCGTCGGGATAGCTGCTCTGTTCTGTAAAGTCTGCTGAGAAAATCTGGATGCGACGGGACGTTTTTCCTTTTTAAAATCGTCTTATCCACAAACTCGTAACTTTACCGAGATATGTGTTGACAAAACTACATGTTAAAGTTCTTTCTTTCCCTCTCGTGTTTTCCCTCCTGCCGTGGAAAACGCGTTTGTTGCTGTGCAGAGGGCTGGACAGGCGCTGCTCGTGTTTTAGAAACCTGAGGTAAGCTAGCAAGGAAAATAACGGATACATCCGGTTAGGGCTTTCAAAATAAGTTAAACTACTTCAGAAAATGAACGCAAATTAGTCTTGGTAAAAAAATGTTCATGGTAAGTCAAAATTTTGACTTTTTTTCTCATGATTTTGACTTAATATATTGTAATTTTGAAATAGTAAGTCAAATTTTAGACTTTTCATCTTATAATTTTGATTTTTATATCTCAGAATTCTTTTACTTTTATCACAGAATTGTGATGTGTTTATCTTAATTTTTTTTATATCATGACTGTTGTGACAAGCAAAGATTATTACTTTCCTGAGGGTTATAATGTTTAGTTTTGGTTTAAATGGTGTTAAAGAGGTGTTTATTCAACTTTTTGACCATTTTGGAAAATTTGTCATGTCAATGAAATGCATTTTGTTGTGTTGAGAGTAGAGCCCGACCGATATTGGATTTTTGAGGCTGATGCAGATACCAAGATAAAAGAGTAAAAACATTCCAATATCGATATATCGGCCGATATATACATACATATGTATATATATATATATATATATATATATATACATACATATTTAAATAATATATATATTCATACATATTTAAATAAACACTTGTGAAAAAGATATATAATGAAAGCAGAATATTTTACAGTTTAACAATAACCTTTATTGTCCAAAATGACATCAGTACACTGAAACGGTAAACTTCACTGGGAATCAAATATACATAAAATGCTGCCTATATAACTTGACTTGACCCGAACATTTCCACTGCATTATTGCTTCTGAATAAAAGTATTCATATCAGCGCAAAATCGTCCGACCAATAAATCGGTTGGGCTCTAAGTTGAGAGGTATTATTTGTCCACCCTTGTAATATTATTGAGGATAGGCTAGATAACAGAAACAGCTCTCAGCAATACAGTTCAGCAGCACCTCAAACTACATCCTCCAAAAATGTAATTTATTACAGGGCTGTTATATTAGACTGCTTTAGTTTTAGCTGGGTGTACCTATTAAACTGTTAACTAAGTATATAAGGATGTAAAATTGCCTTCAACTTACAGCTTTACCATATGCACACAGCAATGACTTCATGCAAAATTATATGCTTTTATTTTGAATGCCAACTTGCAAGCTTCCATTATTGTCTGAGGTGCTCCAAGCACATGCACATACACACACACACACACACACACACACACACACACACACACACACACAAACACACACACACTACTTTACCCTACTAATATCAGTAGTAGCACACTTTTGCTCTCACCCTAGAGCCAGGACACAACTGGGTCTTTAATAAAGTAGGCTATATAATAAGTAGCCTAAATGTTCAGTATTAACAGACTCATACAAACATGCAAACTCCTCACTACATATTTAACAGTCATATTTTCAGACGAAAAATAGCACAGAGATACCATAGTCATTAAAAACACCACAAAGTATTATAGCACCTTTCCCAGCTTGTTCCAGCACAACTGGTTCTCTGCTCTGTATTCTAAATATGTAGAACAAGGTCATACCTGACTAACCTTAACCCTCGCAGACGAGTCTTTCTGCTCCAGACGAGTAAAAGAAGGCTATTTTTACTGGATATAAGCCCATGGAGAGATACATTTTTTTAGACACGTTTTTTTTAATACATGTATATACTGTATGTGGTGGTGATTGTCACCATGTTTTTTTTCATATGGGCAAGAACATGAGATTAAGAAGCATATGATTAAATTTCTCTGTCCACATTTTGATGAACTCTGAGTGACTCTCTGGTTCCATATCACATAGCATTATATGCATTACGCAAACAACAGTCTATGCTACATAGTGTCAGTGTTGGTCTACCACATTGGTTGGCTAAAATTTGGTGGAGACATTCATGATCTCCCAAGGATACAGCCTTTGATTTTCAGCAATGCCAGATCCTTTTAAAGATTCAAGGATTTCTTTTAAATTAATGCCTACTTTTGACACATGCACTATTTATATTCCCTGCAAGAAGCAGCTAAACACTTTGCAATTTGCATCAAACACAAACACACACACACACTGCTGCATGTTTGCATGGGCTGGCTTATTTACTTTGTGTGCATGTAGTACATTTCCCAAGTTTTCCTTAATTTTCAAAGAGCTGAGTTCCGTTTACAAGGAAATTTGATTTACTGAACTGGGCGGCTTTGTGAAGCTGGTGGGGCTCCAGCAATCAGGCCTGATGCGAATGGAGGAAAATTGTCCCGCACTTATCTGGCCACTAGAGAATTTGAGAAGAGTTGTTACAGTAATTGATAATTGTGTGTGGGTTGAATGCGGCGTGTCTGCTGATAACAACTTCCCAAATCAAACCTCTGAGTTTGTTCTTCGCCACTCCACTGTGGAACATTGTGTTCCCACTGCTCTCTGCTCCTGGCTGGGCCTGGGTGTGCATGCCCAAGATGCCTATCATTGCCCACAGCAGCCAGCCCATCTGCAATTATGTTGTGTTGGCAGATAATGACCTCCCCTCTGCATCCACTGTGAGCTCATTTTATACAGAAAACATGCCGGACGGAGATAATTGGTGAAAAGTAATTGGTCAGAGACGCTGCAACTCATTTCACTCAGAAATGGCCTCTAGTTCTCTGCTATTTGAGAGTCCATTTCCTGAATGTGAAGCTGCAGTTTGTTTCCATCATGATACAGGAATGCCAGGAAAATACATTTCTAAAGTTTTCCCAGGTGCACTATAATGTTATTAATGTACATGCTTAATATTCCTTTTTGTACACTTTGCATTTGATTTACATGAAAAGTATTTTCAGTAGAGCGAACACTGCATGCCTGTCTTTAAGCATGGATCTCACATGTTTCTTCCCTTGAGTTACTGAGTCATTTTTAGTTCATGTATTTGCAGTTAGAAAAACCATACAAAAGATTTTTAAAAATCTAAGTGCCAGCAAGATAAAAGGAGCAATAAAATATGATATCTGCAAAGAAACAAGTAAGCACTCGCACCCAAATTCCTCAGTAGTAAGTTCAATAGTATCTAACTGAAAGCAATGCTGAGAAAGGAGAAGAGTTTAACGAAAGCAAAATTGCACAAATGCTAAGGGGGATGACCTGCTGACATCCAGACACATTGTCTGTTTTACCTGCAGCTGTCACAGTGTTGGGAGCTCAGGGGAGGAACAAAAAAACCATGTGTAATGCGCTCTGCGCTCACTGACCTGCCTCCAAGCCCTGTGACTCAGCAGTAAGTGGAAAAGGTTGTTAACATGAGCAGATGAGCGTCGCAAGCTGAAGAAAAATTACATTTGTATGCATCAGTCTGATACAACTAACAGCAACGTGTGTTCAGAGGATAATTCTGGTTAATTACAACTTGGGTCTTAGTATCATGGGTTTTGTTTATTATTTCCCTCTATTATATTAACATGCATGGACTCACCAAACTCACTCACTGCAGAAAAAAAAATGCTTTATGACATGGCAACGTCACGGTTAAGGTTTGACTGCAGGTTTTGGTACAAAAACTATTTGGTTCGGGAATGATCGTGGTCAGATTGAGGTAGTGAGTGAAACAAATTATGCTGATCTTCCTCTTGGGAAGACAGTCTTTATGTCAATGATGTCAAAAAAAAGCAGTGGATGACTGGAAGCTAAGATGCTAAACTGGGTTAGCAGCTAAAATGACGAGGCAGCAGCAAAGGTCAAACTTCTAAAGCTATAATTGTCTCCACAAAAGAAACAAATTTAATATGATTTAAGGCGAAGAGCAAAGATTAATACACCATAATGTGGAGGATATAAGAGTGTAGAGAGAGGTGATTAATCACATGGAAGTTGTGATCTGTGTCATGGGGTCACAAGCACTGTTTCGGGGGTTGCTGCTGATTGTGAATAGTCGGGTTTCTCCTTACTGTATCACTCTGTGAAAGTGATCAGAAACATGTCTCACATAGAATTCTGGGTACGGTCTTTCCTGGTAAATTGGTGCCTGTGCATATCAAAAACACAATTTATGACGGACAAAGCATTACCAAAAACAGAACTGATAAAAAAGAGGAAAAGCACGATCAGATCAAAAATACATAACATCCATGCTGTAAAGTGTTGTTCTCCATCGTCACCTGATGCTGCTCCTGTTCACTGGTTTGAAAGCAGCATCTGTTCTATCTGAGCATACGTTGAAAACACCTGGATAATAGATCTAAAATGACCATGCAAGCGTTGTCTAAAGAATTATTCGGATAAATCCAAAGCAAACAAACAATATGAAGCTTTGAAATTTGGCATAAAAGATAAAATTGCTATCTTTAAAATGATTCGATTGTTATGTAAAAGGCCGGTCAGCACAGCATGGAGGACAGGATGCAGGAAACAGCAATAGTCTGATAAATTTCTGGTGACAGCAGCTGGTGTCGAAACTGTATTTCCACGGAAGCTGCAGAGTCAGTGTTATTACTCCTAATCAAGGACAAGACGATTATGAATCATATTTCCATATGTGTTGTAATAACAAAGCAATCAGCCACGGTCTGCATGTGTCCCTCCACTAATCTCCAAGAGGCAGATGTTGTTGCGTGAGCGAAGTATTTTCTGCAGGAATTCAGCTTCTATTGTCGTTTTTGGCCGGAGCTGCGAGGCGCCAAAGACTCCCTCAGCCATCTAATCTCAGTATCAAGTACGTGCCAAGGGAATTGTTTTGCCATTTATTGAGTAGTGCACTCACTTTAATTCCCATTATCAAATGTTGTCCCTTTTGTAATTAAGGGGGTTGATTAAAATATGTTATCATTTCATGCAGAGTATGAGAGCACAGTATCACAGCTGACAGAAAATAACTGGTCTTGAAATGATCAAATTCAGAATTCATAAGCGACATATCTCGACGGAGGATATTGCACTCTGAGGTAATCAGCTTAACTGACC